GTGATCTATTTAATATACAAAAAAAGTTGGACTATAATTTGTAAATTTGATTTGCAATGCAATTCTAAAGTTTATGTTTGAGGGACAAGGTCAAAAAATTTATCACAAATGGTAAAAGAGACAAGAATGGATGAAGAAAAGCCACAGCAGTTCCCAATCTGTCTGAATTCTAAGCAATCTACAGTATCTAGTTGGCAATCACAGAAAACAGAGTTTGCCCTGGTTGTAAAATTGTGAAAAGACAAGAGCCACTACGGGAAGTAGGATTTCATTCTTCTTTTCTCTCCTTTTGGTCGGTCCGTCCTGGGGCTTTATTTAACTCAAGGACTGCATGCTATCCCTGAAATTTTCTTCTTCTAGGCTCTACCACTTCGAGCTACAGTTCCACATTCAGTTTGGGGAAAATTAGAGATAAGATTCTCAAGGTATTCCTGCCCCAGATGGTTTTGAACCAAAATACTGAGATCTCAGCTTCCTGAGTACCTAGGATTACAGGCCTGAGTTACCAGCATCTGGCAGAACTAAGATTTCTGATGCTACAGACCACAAACTTTCTTTCTGGTTCCCAAACCCATATGCCGTTTACAAGAGATATACAACTATGAGGAAGCTTCTAATTTAGTGCATAGTCTGTATCCTAAAAGATGACATCTGTGCAGAGTGTTCCCTCTCAGTAAGAGCTTCACCTGTGCCTGTTATTCACCATTACAGAAAACCACAAGGACACCTGCCTCTAGATGCCACAACCTGAAGGGGGTAGGGGAACGACTCAGTACATTCCAAAGTCCAGGCCTACTCCCACACATCCTTCCCAGTAAAGTAAGGTCCTGATTCTATGTGAAGTGAGAGTCCATACCTGTGGATCTAAGAGCCAACTACCAGCACAAAACATACACTAAATAGTCAAGTAAAAGTGATAAATCACACTAGGTCTACAGATAAAAATAAGATGCATTTGTTGCTTTAAAGAAATTTATATTCTAAGCCAGGCGCCAGTGGCTCATGCGTGTAATCCTAGCTACTTAGGAGGCTGAGATCTGAGGATCGCAGTTCAAAGCCAGCCCCAGCAGGAAAGTCCATGAAATTCTTATCTCCAAAAACCGGAAGTGGCGCTGTAGCTCAAGTGGTAGAGCACTAGCCTTGAGCTGAAGAGCTGAGGGACAGCACTCAGGCCCAGAGTTCAAGTCCCACAACTGACCAAAAAAAAAAAAAAACAACTTCTATTCTAAGGAGACTCAAAACCAACAGCAAGGCCTTGCTTCTTTATAAAATACTATCTTCTTAGTCAAAAGCATTTATGTTTTTGTTGAGAAACTGATAAACCATCATCATAAAATCACCAAAAAGTAGTTCAGACATACTCCACAGGTGTTCTTATAAACCAAAATTTCAAACTGGCATTGTTTAACTCTATTTGTAATATTTAATATTACTTTGCATACTACTAATTATTTAATGTTACTGCTTTTAGGAAGCCCAAGTGTTTAGGGTATATATTTACAATTAAAATTTTAAATAAAGTATTAGTGTCTACTTTGTCTTTTTAAATCACATACCTTAACCATGTTCAAATATTAAATTACTACATAAATATTGCTAAGCAAATGAATCTGTCATATATTTACATTCAGTCTACAGAGAATTTCTAACTTATCACAGGATCTTGTTTGTTATTCTAGCTTCATTTGAATAAGTTATACAGTAAAGCTGCAAGGATAATATCAAAACCATGAAAAATTTCAAAAACAGAACATATATAATTACAAACACATATAGGTAAACATACACATACCAATTTTAATTCAGAGTAGTTTTCCTCTTGATTATCCAAAGTAATTTTCAATATGTAACTTGTTAACACAATAGTCTTATTTGCAAAAAGAAATCTATAACTCACCGTTGTACACCATAAGGTCTCTCTAAAATAGGCTCTTTGAATGGGGGTGGAGTGTGACCAAAATAATCAGGATAAGCCACCTCTGTATATTCTGGGACAGATTTTGTATCTTTCACAATCTCAATATACAGGTCAGGGTCATGGAGTGTTGGTACATCAGGAACTTCAACTGATGGCTGTTCTACTGATGAACTAGATTCAGTATCTTCATCATCTTCAGTTTCAACCCCAGTACAGCAGAGCTTCCCTAGGTGTACTGTTCGTCCCTCAAAAAGAGCATTTCCACAATTAACTACATGTGGACATGCTTTTGTGCATGTCAGGACACTAAGAGGAAGACTATAATCCTTCTTCACTATGGCAGTCGAGCACAGGGCTGTTTGAGAAGGAATATTCTGCAATGTGATTCGGTCCAAGGCCTTCACAATATCATTGTTTAAGCTGTGGGAAGAAGTAGTTCTGTTTGGATCTCGGAGCTGCTGTAATAACGTTCTGTCATTATCTTTAGCATTTTCCTTTGTGACATCCATGAGGGCAGATTTCTTATCACCTTCCTCTCCTTTAGAAGATACTTTCTCCTTCATTACAGCCCCTTTTTTCTTTGGATTCCCAGATGCTTCTTCACCAGCTGTAGGAACAACAATGGGACCACATACTTTTCCCTCAAATACAAGAGGCTTTGGTTCTTTGGAGATTAAATCATAGTCCTGTAAAAGTGTAAAAAGGAAAGTTTAATCTATTGCCAATATTAAAATATATTAGCAAAACATCATCAATTTTGTATGGCATTTAAAAAACAATGCTTTAAATTTTACAAATGGGTAAAACAGGCAATGTTATACAATAAAAGACAAAATCATTAATGATAAAAATTCATAACACTTTTTTACTTTTTCTATTATAAAAATAATGCCTCCATACCACAGAACGATGGAAATTTTAGAAAGGGTAAAGTCCTCCAAAGTCCTACTACAGAAAATACACAAATAAATTATCATTATTTAATAAATATCACTAATTATCTAATGATGCTACACACAGGGAACAACATTCTAGGCAGAGAGGACTGTCAAGCCAGCAGCATTAGTGAGGAAAAATGTCTGCCTGTTCAAAGACAGGCTGGATGGAACAGAACAAAGCAAGGTAAATTCCAAGAAGCCAAAGAAGGCAAGGTACTAGAGGTCCTTAGAGGCTATTTTAAGAATTTTGATTCTGCTCTGCATGGGATTAAGAGCCAAGAGGCTAAGTGCCATAACATTAAGTATTAAAAATATAGGGAGGAGGAATGAAGGGAGGGAGGGAATACTATTCTACAGCAGCATTTATCACATGAGTAGATGACTTGCGAGAACAGAAGGCACTATCTTACATACTTCAGGGTGTTTAGCAGTATATATGTGTCTCTACACACTAGATGCTAGAAGCACACATCCATACACATACTCCCTATTTGTGAAAAACAAAAGTGTCCCCAGACATTTTTAAATGTCCCTTGCAAGGCCAAATGGATTTGAAAACCACTACTCTGGTACTCCTCTGAGAACAGATTGAGGAAGGAAGAACAGAAGGAGAGAGGTTGTTGCAGTGATCCAAGGAACTTCTGAACATATTGCAGAACCTAATTTATATGCTGATAGACCACATATAAGGTAGAAATCACAGGGAGGTTGCAGATGATATAGAAGTGTTCCCAACCACAACGAGAAAAACATGATTTTGAAATTTAATTCCAGACATGCAAAATGTGGGTTACTGACACACATATGCAGGTTAAAATGAGATGCTGGATAAGTCTCAAAATTAAAAAAAAAAAAAAGTTTATGCAGAACCTATTTAAACTTAGGGTCATAGTATACAGATATTATTCTATGCCATGTGAATAAAAATCATCAATGAAAAAAGAAAACAAGGAAGACAAAAAATGAGCCATGAGATATTTGAATACTAATGTTGATGAGATGCAAATAAACTAGGAGCTCAAGGAAGAAGTTGGTCTAGAAAGATGAAAAGCATCAAGGAAGCCAAATTGAAATTAGAATGTTAATCCAGGGGCTGGTTGCTCACACATACAATCCTACCTACTCAGTAGGTTGAGACCTAGAAGGATCTGGTAGTCCAACAAACTTTGGAGGTGTGGCTCAAGTGGTAGTGCCCAAGTCCTGAACAACAAAGCCAAAGGAACTGAGTTCAAGCCCTAATAACAGCACACACACACACAAACCAAAAATGAAACAGAAACACACACACACACACACACACACACACACACACACACACACAAATACAGGATTGATGCTTAATTCTTTTCGAAGTATTTTTATCCATACAGGACATAAACCACATAAATACTAATTGGCTTAATAATTCTCCTACATTTAATAGGAGTATTTAATCTTTAATAGAATGTGAAATTATTTAAACAGATAAGTAAGGTTTATATTGAACCCATTACCAAAATTTTACTGATATTAAAAACTCTGCAATGAAAAGGTTTTGCTTTCTTAGAATGATTTCCTATGCACCAAAGTGGAATTACAGGGTCAGAGTCTATATTTATTTTTGTTTGTTTTCTAAACTTCAAAAGGTTATAAAGGGGGATTACATTTAATATGGTTATTTTAACTATCTAGTATTTCTTGATCACAGTCACCTCTTTCCATTATTTTCTCCCATCCTATATACCCTTTTTCCCAAACTCATTTCACATTTCACATTTTTTTAACTTTTTTTTATTGTGAAAATACTGTACAGAGGGGTTACAATTACATGGGCAAGGTACATTTCACATTTTCTTTATCACATATGCACACTGGGTATTAAAGATATATTCATTCCCTGTTCCATTTTGTGTTCATTCATTCCTCCACTCACCCGCCCACTATCCCTCTTTATTCACTCTCATTTCAGCTTCCTGATATTTACTTTTTAAACTGTCTGCTAATTGTTCAAAGATCTTACTCCTTCAAGTTTTACTGATCCATACAATAAATTCAACATATGCCCCTCTGGGCTTTTAAATGGGAGGGTTATGTTTGGGGTCTAAGATCCATGTCTAAGATACATGAAAGAAAACATGCTCCCTTTTTGGTTATGGGCCTGGCTTTAAAATATGGAATGCTCACATTTTGGGTGTCATCCTCATACAGGGGCCATGAATAATGTTCTCTGTATCATTCCAATTTTAGTATATTTGCTGCTGAAGCAAGCTCTCTATATTCAATTTTTTTTTTTGGGGGGGGGGGGGTTGAGTCGTGGGGCTTGAACTCTGAGCTTGGGTGCTATCCCTGTGCTCTTCAGCTCAAGGCTAGCACTCTACCACATGAGCCACAGCGCAACTTCCGGCTTTTTTCTTTTTGCTTATGTGGAGCTGAGGAATTGAACCCAAGGCCTCAGGCATACAAGGCAAGCGCTCTACCACTGAGCCATCTTCTCAGCCCTCTCTATATTCAATTTTAAAGCCTAATATAAACTATCCTGATGCTCTCCCAAAATGCTCACATTAATGTATATTCACAACAACTACATATGTGAAGATTCCAAGTGCTACCTTGACAACATAACTTGCACATAGCTTTTTAAAAAATTTTTCTAAATTGTTATTTAAGGAATATATTTACTATTATTCTAATTTATATTTTAACTACCAAAAAAGCAATTAATTTTCCCCACTTTTGCTAATTACTAGCAATTCTTCCTAAATAATTTGTTTGCAACACATATTTTTTTGTTGTGTGAATCCATGTAAATCTGAGACATATACATACATACATATATACATACCCTCTTTCTCTAGATAACTCATTTTTGCAAATGTTTTTCTAGATTTGCAATTTATCTTTTAATTTAGTTAGGTTAATTTAAAGGTCTTTTTCTTTGGGACCGTCATATTTTCATCATATTAAAAACAAAGGATTCAAAGATAATTCACATGAGACCTGTAGTATATATAATACACAGACTGTGGAAGCATGAAGAGAAAAGAAACAAGTAAATTTTCATAGAAACACCAGTTGAAGGAAATATGGAAGGCTAGGTACTATGGGGGGGGGAGGTAGGAGGACATTTACAATTGCTATGTAAGATATTAAGACATTTACATATGTCAATATATGTATTAAGAAAGCCAGGATAAAGGACAAATATTAAATGAAGAGAGGATTCTGTGAAAATTAATATCAGGCATGAGATTACTGATTTTAGTATTATATCTATATGATTATTCAAAGTGTCATTTAAGGTGTTTCTATTTTGGATGGCATAAATATTTGAGCTCATATTTTTGTAACTTCGAGAATTCCAGGGCATGATAATTTGCAGCTAAACTAAGTATGATCATTGTAAATAAAGCTATTAATTTGTTTTCTTTACTTCTTAGTTAAAAAGAAACCAGGATACTTGGGAAATTATCAGTAAGTTGTTTTTAAGGACTCTGACTCCTTATTTTACTTTCTATTATTGACTTTCATATAGAATTTTAAAAGTACTTGAAAAAAAGTTTTAATAATATTAAAAGTATCACAAAATATTCCACTTCTGTGTGTTTTATATAATCTTCTATCCTATGATATTTCTATGATAACTAAAAAAAAGACTGCAGTTCACATTATGAAAGTATAAGTCTGGTGACCATGGGTATTCTCACCTCAAAGAAAATGTTGGAGATAAACTAAAACTAACATAAGATAAAACTACTCTAAGATAAATCCTACCACAAAAATGGAAACCCAGAAAGCTAACCCTCAAACATGTGGTCCTAGAAATAACCCTCCCACAAATCAATCAAGGATAAGGAAAACCAACTCTTTAAGCCTTAGCACTAAGATGGTGGAAAATGTTACTACTCACAAATTGGTACCAAAAGCCTGCTATCACATCACATGGATTTGCAAGCCTGAATTCACATTATCAGGGTGATCCAAAAACCTTCAAGGAAGAATTTAACAGTGCCTGTCAAAAGCAACAACAACAAGACTAGAGTATCTACATAATTTTTGCAAACAAAAAATATAAAGAAAATGTAGTTAATATTTTATACTTAATTTTTAAGCAAATAAGGTAAAAGGAAAGGAGGAGAGAAAGTGGGACTAAGAGAGGTAACGCTTTAGACACAGTTATGGTGGTACAAACCTGCAATCCCAGGACTAGGGAGCCAGAAGCAAAGACAAGCCAGGGCTACAGTGGAGATGCTATCTCCCAACACATAATCAAACTACAAACTTTGATACACAGTGAATCCAAAAAGACAATGAGAGAACTGGCAAATTGCTTTGATGAAATAAGCTAAATATAGCATAAAGAGAGAAAGCACTATCAAAAAGAAGTTCAAAAACATGGAAAATTAAATGGCATCCAACCAATTAGAACTACAAAAAGAGAAAAGAGAGCAAAAAGGACAAGAATATTCCCAATCCTACAAGAAAACAACTCAAGAATCCAAACACACATATTCCAAACAGGAATTCAAAGAGGAAAATCCACATACATACAAATATACATACGTAGATACATACATACAGCCGCATTTTTGGGAAACTGAGAAATACTAAAGTCAAAATTTTGCCTTAAAAGCCACCAAAGCATGATTGTATTAAGTGAAAATATATGTTTTTCCATATACTCAGAAATTTCACTCAGAGGTATTTACAAACAAACAAGTGAAGGTATATGTCCACTAAAGTTTCATATACAAATGTTCGTATCAATTTTATCTATGTTAGTCCAAACTACAAGAAATCTCATATTCATCAATACATGAATAAGTTGTGGAATATTCACATTATAAACTACTAATTGATCCAAAAACCCACTAAAATGTAGCAAGGTGTAAATCTCAAAAACATAAGCTGAGTAAAAACAGTCTTACACTAAAGACTAAATAGTATGATGACATTCATAAGAAGTTCTAAAATAAGCAAAATTAAGCACCATGCTATGGACCAGTGGTTAGCTGGGCAGAAAATGAGCAGAATAAGAAGTACAAAAAGGCCGGGCGCTGGTGGCTCACGCCTGTAATCCTAGCTACTCGGGAGGCTGAGATCTGAGGATCGCGGTTCAAAGCCAGCCCAGGCAGGAGAGACCGTGAGACTCCTACCTCCAATAAACCACCAGAAAACCTGAAGTGGCGCTGTAGCTCAAGTGGTAGAGCGCTCGCCTTGAGCTGAAGAGCTGAGGGACAACGCCCAGGCCCAGAGTTCAAGCCCCACAACCAACAAAAAAAAAAAAAAGTAGTACAAAAAGTAGTCTGAAAAGATGGAAATAATTCTGTCTCTTGACTAGAATTTGTCAAAATCCACAGCCAGGCACTGGTGGCTCACGCCTGTAATCCTAGCAACTCAGGAGAGGCTGAGATCTGAGGATCGCAGTTCAAAGCCAGCCAGGCAACAAAGTCCATGAGACTAATCTCCAATAAAAAACTACTCAGAAAACTCAGAAGTGGCTCTGTGGCTCAAGTGGCAGAATGCTAGCCTTGAGCTGAAGGGCTCAGGAACAGCACCCAGAGTTCAAGCCCCACGACCAACCAAAAAGAAAAAAGAAAAGAAATTTGTCAAAATCCATTGGTTTTAATTAAGTATAATTTATTGTGTATTAATTCTACTTCAATAATATTTACTTTGTAAAGGTAACTAGAGGATTTTGGAAAAAGACTAACTTTCAAGAATCAAATAAGTGGGGCTGGGAAGGTGGCTCAGTGGTAGAGTGCTTGCCTTGCATGCCTGAAGCCCTGGGTTCAATTCCTCAGCACCACATAAGCAGAAAAAGCCGGAAGTGGTGCTATAGCTCAAGTGGTTGAGCACTAGCCTTAAGCTGAAGAGCTGAAGGATAGCGCCCAGGCCCAGAGTTCATGCCCATGACTAACAAAAAATAAATAAATAAATAATAAAAAAAGAATCAAATAAGTGATGGTAAGAGACAGTGTATGGTACAACTAAACATTTTTCAGACAAAAGAAAATAACTCCAGATAAAAGTCCTAGTAAGCACAAATAAAAATTCTTAAATTCTAAGAGTATACTGTAACTAAACATAATACACTGAATGTAACAGACATGTTTGTTGTTTAACTTTTTCATTTGAAAACAGATAAATTGGTTTGGGAAATGATCATAGTTCAAGTACTGTGCTTCCATGCATCATGGAATGAAAGAGGAAAGAATCTCATTAACAGAATGTCAAGACTAACTAGAATTTCTGCATATATGTCAATATTCAAATTTAGGCTTCAAATATATTCATTGTTATACATAACAGCAAACAAAAATTTTGACTGCAATAAAATATAACAACACTGCAGAGCTTTTAAAGGAAAAATTGAAATAAGAAAAATTAGTCCAAATGAAGGCAAGAAAAAAATGAAATACAAAATAAAATATAAACCCAAAATACTAAAATTACATGTAAATGATCTAAATGTTCCACTGAATGACAAAAGTCAGACTTAATTTTTAAAATTCAATCATATGCTCCATAAATATACAAATCTAAAAAGAATTTAAAAGAAAGATTTTGAAAGATATCAGGCAGCTAGCATGGGTGACTCATAAATGTACTGCTAGCTCAGAAGGCTAAGATCTAAGGATTTCTGTTCAAAGCAAGCCAGGGCAGGAAAGTCTAAGAGACTAATCTCTCCAATTAACCACCAAAAAGTCAGAAGTAGAGATAGAACACTAGACTTGAGCAAAAAATCTCACGGATAATTCCCAGGCCCTCAGTTTAAGCCCCAGAATTAGCACCAGAAAAAAAGAAAGGAAAAGAAAGAAAAAGAAAAAGGCAAATAATTAAAATTAATGTAGCTAAATGTTTCGTTTCAAATATATTTGCCTTCAAGTTTTAGATATAAATTTACTAACTTCATAATTTATCATTCCAAAAGGAAGTAAGCTCGATTTACATTTATACAAAATAAAGAAGCCTCAAAAAGATATATAACTAAAATTGGCAGACCTTGAAGTTATATTCATAATCACACACAAAAAAATCTCAACATATTTCTTTACAATTAAGAGAAAAGGTAGAAATCCATAAAGACATAAAAAAAATCCTGAATACAAATATTTCATCCAAATAAATATACAAAAAAGAACTAAAGAATCCTAAGCACTTCAAAAATAGTAACAAGTTTGATAATATTCAAAGTGTAAAACAAGATGCAAAACATCATAATGAAAGACTATGTCATGTCCTCTTGTCTTATTATACTACAATATCT